GGAAAGCAATATTAAAATCCACTTTCCACACTTCAGTGCATCTATATGAGTTTCATATCCTCCAAACTTACTAAATGTCACTATTTTTAGTAGTAATTACCTACAAGTATTTCATTTACTTTGCCTCAGTCATTAACTCATCAATGAGTACAGAAAGTTCTAGAAAACTGTGACCCTACCAAAACTGGCAAGAGAGAGGGGGATAATTAGGGATTTCCTTGGTCAGCTGTAAGAAATCACACAAAATGAGAATGACTTGGAATCAAAAAGATTTTTTTAAGACAAATGATGCTTTGGTCCAAGTTCAATATGAACCATAAGTTCCTAGATCCGTATTTAACAAAGCACTCTTTCTAGATCAGTGTTGTTCAAACTAGTTGCAATCCATTGGTGGGCCTTGAAATCAATTTTTCAGTGGTGAAAGAATTTTTAATGAAATAGAACCGACTAGAATTAAATATAAGCTATCAGTGTGCATCAAATGTATTAATGGTTAAATATTGCTTTATTTCAATTATTTCTGGGTGTACATATCTGTATATCTATGTGCATACATGTGTTCTAGATAAAATGAAAAATTTATGATTGGTTACAGTCTAAAAAGCATAAAAGCCATTGCGATAAAAGCATCTGGACTATCTGCCTGCCCAGGTACCTATCAAGAACAGCTACAGATATAGACAGAGTTGAGCAGCCAAAGTAAAACAAATACCAAAATATAGTTGTAACAAAGATCTAAATGTTTGGCACTTTTAGCTTTCTGAAAAATAAGGATTAATTAATACAAAGCTATACTCTTACCACTATTATCTTTCACTTTGCTTTTTAATTAGTACATATCAATTGGTCGATTACGCTCTATAAATATCACTTAATCAAGCAACTAACAGAATCAAGATCAAAATGACTGACAATTTTTTATCTTCCCTTTCACATAGGGTAGATGACCTTCTCTAGAATAAAACTTCACTCTTATAACGCTAAAGGGGTAAAAGTTTAAATTAACACATAACTGCCTCTGAGAACTGAGATATTCAAAATGTGTTCTTAATATGAGTTAACCATCAGATCCCATGAAGAGGAATTTGAAATGGAAAAATGAACACATTCCCTATGATGTCACTGCTGAATTAATTACCTGAATTGCAAAGAGTGAACACCACATGGCCATGGTTTGAGACACAAAGGCTTCTTCAGAAATATAAAAGAAAAGTAACTAACTGGAGGTTTTCTTTTTTAAAAAAAATCCATCCTCATACAGGAGATACATAGGTAGTAAAATACGGCAAGTAAAAAGCACATTCTTTGTCATTTAGTGTGTATAAATAACTTCTCAGCCCATGTGAATAGCTATTTGCAAAGCTGAAAATTATAATCCTTTCAAAAGGGTAGTAAGCATCTACCTATGGAAGATTCTAGAAATAAACTGAATTTATCATTCATTAAACCAAATATTCAACTATAATAAAGTGTCCCTATCATATGTGTAACTGGGTGATTTCTTTCCTTCTGTGTAATTGGTAATTGCTTAAAAGTGACCAATGTAACTATTTTTAGCTGCTAGTAGACAGAAGTTTTATACAAGTTAAATAATGTTCAGTGACATCACTGCAAAAGTATGAACATCCACAACAATGACTAGGTCCTTAACCAACATGACAACATATTTATTAAAAAAAAAAAAAAACACCCTACATGAATGACTCAGTCAAGTTACAGACAGAAGTGGAATCTATTGGTCATGCTGAAAAGGTTGGGAAAACATTAATCCATTTCTTCACACACAGTAATAACAAGAATTCATGCATAGCCCTGGCATCTGGTTAATTTTTTAGTACACAGTATTCAGCAGGCCTAGAAATGAAACTTCATAGTTCTAGCTCAAAATTTCAGGAATAACTGATATTCAGAAAGTCTGATCTCTTTATCCAGGAGCCTGGGACAGGGTCTGATCTGATACTATAACCCTATCTGTCCATCTGCAGTTCAGCAAGACTTATTGCACCTGGAGGAATGTACAATTGTTCCCGTCCTTGGCCTTGAAGAGATCACATCAGACAAGAATGGTCCCACCAGCTTTCTTCATTTCAAGGCTGCTCTCAAATGGCTTGGAGCCTTCATGATTCCAGTTTTATGGACAAATTCCTTGACTTGTTCCCAAAGTGGAACATGGCTGGATCCTTGTTTCCATTCATCCTACAAATGGCCTTAGAGTCCACCTGGGTGGCCCTTCTCCTCCTCCTTTTCTTTGCCCTCTTTTGCCCCAAATTCAGATCCTACTCACCCTCCACACCTACCCCAAATACCCAATTAGGCCTTCCCTGATCTTCTCTTAATCTCTGCCTCTGGTCTGTAAAATGGCGAGAATCACACTATTGTACCTAGTTAATAGCATTACAGAATATTAAATGAAATAATGCATGTTACTTGCTTAGCACAGTGCCTGGTACATAGGACCCTATAAATGTTAACTATTTTACTCTATATACCTCTTTTTTAACATTCATAACTTTATATATTGCCTTATAGTTATTTGCCTGTTTCATCTTCCTGTCTAAATTCTAATTTCATTAAGTTTTGGGGCTATGTATAATTTATCTTTGAACAGTCCCCAGCCCATATATACATACACATAGGTTATTTTATATTATATCTATATATTTATTTATATTTATATTTTTCACACTACATGTATCATATAGATTTTTCATACACAATATATTCACATACAATTATTTTATATTTTTATACAATACTGCTCATTTATACGGAAAAGTGGTATAAATAAGATATATAATTATTACTTATATTCGTATCCTGTATTTATTATTTATTGCCTGAATAAATACAGTATAAGTAAGGTGTGACCATACAATCATGAATCCTATACACTCTGTGTCTTACAGAACCAGTTTAATTACAGTTGCATGTTTCCTAGTCTATTCCTCCTAATCTATTCCTTTCTCTATTAGGAAAAAGCTGCATGAAAACTATAGTCTAGTCTTTTGAGCAGGCACATTGTTCTTGTCATTATCTTGGCATACTCATGAACAATGAAAAATCCTAGCTAATAGCCACAAAAACAGTCATTTCAGTACTGAGATCAGGCACTTCTTTTGTCATGAGATTGTCACCCCTAACAGACATTACCAAACACATTTTGGGTTGTCATGGTGGAAGCTGCTCCTCAGCATTCTCCTTGCTCACCTTATGCTGGCTTCGCACTATAGGTTTCACTCTTGTCTGTTCAGACTCCCTAATCGGACCATCATCAGGATGAAAAATGGGCTTCTGTTTGTCAGTGTCCAAATTATCTAACCTACTAAAAGGTTATGTCAGAGAAAGAATCCAGATCTAAGACTGCATAGTGAATTATTCCATTTACATAAAGTATTTTAAAAACAAGCAAAATCTGTTGTTAGAAGTCAAGGCAGTGGTTACTCTGGAGGAACGTAGTGGCTGGAAGGAAATCATAAAGACGTTTCTGGGCATTGGTAATGTTCTATTTCTTGATCTGGATACTAGTTACTTAGCTGTGTTCAGCCTGTGAAAATTCATCAAGCTTAATATATATTCACTTTTCTATATTTTATTTTATTTCAATAAAAATTTGGGGTTTTGTGTCAACTCTGAAATAAATAAGAAACGAGAAAAACTTAGAACTTGGGCATCTTTTAATCAAACTCCATGTTAGTGTCATGTTAAATTATATATATATATATTATCCTCCTGGAATGAGCAAGGCAGCATCTTCCTATTGCACAAATTTCTTATGTGCCATTTATTTATTTTTTAATTTTCTTTTCAGTCCTGATTGAGTCTATGAGCCAACCAAACTCAGTGAAAAGTTAGAATTAAGTCCTGTATCTCCACCTTCTTTATAAAATCCTCTTCAGAAACACAGAAAATGACCTCAGGGAATAAAATTTCCACAGGATGCCACTTCCCGAATTATCTCCTTCAAGAAGTACTTTTTCTATATTATGAAATAATTACAAATTAACATTCCAACTTCAGAGATCAACAGCTACAATATGAGAGGAACAACAGTGGAAAGAATGTCCTCACATTTAATTTACCAGCAGGAAAGAGCACTCAAAGGAAAAAAGACTGAGAACATTAAGCTCTCTTCTAAAACGATGGAAAGACCACTTTCTGCCATATAAATGAAGGCAGGGCTGGTACAAAACATTAATTTGCTATTGTTTAACCTCCCCACCCTGACTATTTTGGCCCAATATGAATGTTACCCACTAAGTGGACCCTGGCCCACAAGTGGGCCCGGGGGACCAACAAAAAAAAAAAAAAAAAAAAAAAAAAAAGCTGCTTTTCTTATCTGAAATAATGATCACTTCTCTCCAAGCAAACCAACTGATCCCAGGTACTCGATCTCTGACAATCCAATTACTATTAAGGAACATAGATAGAATCAGGGGTCAGAAAAAAGATGCTCTCTCAAAACTGGCCTAAGGTAAACCAAGGAGAAAGGGAATTATAACAGCAAGTAGATTTAACTACTCATACTCAAGGATTGCTGAGTCCTCTTAACAACAAAGAAAAGGAATTGAACTACCAATAAGGAAAGGCGTTTTGAAAGTAACTGGAAAAGAAATGCCCCTCACTCTTCTTTTCAAAGATAATTTTAGGGTTAGTCTGGAGGAAGACAACTAATGAAAACATATAACAACTGTAATGCATTTAAAGATGATCCTTAAACTTCAGCATGTTCCCAATTGCAAAAATAATATATAATTTAACACACTCCTGTCTCTAGATGCCTTCAAACTTTCCCCAAACAATCTTCATTGCAACCTTTTTTTGCAAATCTTTGCAGGTTGCACCTGTTTCACACGAGTGGAAGTAAACTTGGAGGAGGGAAAAGGAATGGGGAGATTTAAATTAGCATAAATCAACTTTACTCCCCCCCCCAAAAAAAAATAAAAGTTTCCTGTTTTAGTGTTAAAAGGGAGGTCTAGTGAGGAATGCAATAGAGGGGGAAACAGAGGTCTGGCTTACTCCCAAAGCAGAAATCATGACTCATCAAGGCTTTCAGAAGGGCCAGAAAGAAGCTGCATTTGCCTTGAGTTCACCTTCAGGCCAATACATGCTCTCTGAACTGAGACTAGGAAACTTGAATGTTTGTCCTGTGTCTGTGACAACCGGCTGTGAGGCCTTGAACAAAACGCCTGAAAGTCTCTGGATCTCGGTTTCCTCATCTGTAGGTGATCGCCAAGGAAGATCTCATCTAGATTTGTCTATATTTGAGATTTCCAGTCCCCATTACCTAAAGACAATTGGCCCACTGCGGGGAACTACAGAACATCCCTCTCCTCACAAAAGCCAGGGCCCAGGGTCCAAACTCTGGGAGATGCTTAAGTCCTGGAAGTAGGTGGGGAGAGGGTGTAAAATCCTCCTCTCTATGAAAGGGGGCACGCAACTGCAGAGACCAGTCCCTATCAACGCTAAACCAGGCGATTCCGGAAGCACCCTCCACCCTCTACCCCTGCTTCAGGTTCAGATGCTCCAGGGATGAGGACCGAGCTGATTCCCGGCAAGGCTATCAAGAGGGTGAAGAATACAGAACAGAGGGGTCCTCTCTATCAGGGGGAGGGATGCAGATATCTGGAAAGGTGTTGGGGACCCGCCAAACGAGGGAGAGGAGCATGGGGCAGGGTTGGAAGAGAACAGCCCTCATCTGTTCCTGATCCCCCTACATGGACCGCAGGGGTCGGAGGCCCGCACCCCTAGGCTCTCTGGCGCGGAGCGAGGGGCGTGTCCGGAAGCCGAAGCGACAGGGCCCGATTGAGGTCGCGCTGCTGCGACCCTGTCACTCTCTGGCCGACCCGGCCCCTAACCCTCAGCCCTGCGCGCGAGCAAGCTCAGCAAGACAAAACAAACTCGTGCCGGCTTCCTGTTGTGCAACCCAGTCCTGAGTAATGCGAGGCCCTAAGGGCGCCGCCGCGGGCCCACCGCTGGGAAGCCCAGGCGGCGGGGACGAGCGGGCTCCCCGGCCCGGCCAGAGCCGGATTCCAGAGGGAACCGCGGCCCCGCTCGCAGGAGCGCACGGACCCCACGCCGCGGACCCCGCGCCACACCAGCCGCGCGGACCCGGAGCCTCCACCGAACTAGTGTGCTAACCCTCAGGTCTCCTTTCACTTCTTGCCTCCCCAATACTCGCAACAAGTCGCGACTAGTGAAGCCAGAAATGACCTTTCCAAAGTTTCTCTCTCCAGGTACCTAACTGAATCATCCATAGGATGACAAATCCGTCAGAGCCAAGTTTTCCAGACACTTGGGTGACTTCTTCATCCCTGAAGTGACTGTCATCTCCAGTGAGTAACTTGGAAGTGTCGCTCCGGGCAAGGTGTGTGTCTAGGACGGAGCCGGCTGCTCACTCACGCTTTCCAGAGAGCAGCCCGGCGGACTTCAAATTACACACGGGGTCATTTATAGGGACTGAAGCCGTACGCAGGACAAAGTTCCTGAGACTGAGACATTTTCCAAACAGTGCTGACATTTTGTAGGGCCGCAAAAAAAAATGTAAACGCGAGGTGACGAACCCAGCGGGGAGTGTGCGCGTCTGAATGTGTCTGCGCATTTTGCGGCGTGGGAGGTTATAGCTATAGACCTGGAGGATGCGGGTCAGCGGACCCACACCAGCGACGAGTTAACGTACCGCTGACCCGAGGACCTCCTGGAGCAATGGGGATATCGGCTTGAGCGAGACACAAGCGTGAAAAACAGACTTCGTGGAGCTCCACAAACACGTGGAACTGGAAAAGACAACTATAGCCCGTGTGCGCGAGAGACCTCATGTCACCCCATCAATTCTCACTTCTCCAGTTTCCCTTCAGTGTGGACTCATGGGTGCCTTGCAAGACCATGCCCGTGCGTCCTGTAACTTGCCCTGATTTTGTAGCCCTCTGGCTCATGTAGTTTAAAAGAAAACCAAAAACAAAAAGTCTTCCTAATTAGAGAAACTTTAAAATCTCGTTGATTCCTTTCTGTCCCCTACACGGGTACTCTTAGGTAACTGACAAGAACACAGCCTGATTCCTAATTGAGGGTCGTTATCTCAGTAAACAGATCATTTAGAGAATCTGGGGATGGGGGCGCGTATATTCTTAACCCTGCACGAACGCCACCGGCTCAGCGTGGAGAACTATTTCTAATCCCTAGTTTGTGTCTCCGAACATTAACTCCCCCACACTCTCAAAGCAAAGTTCCTATGGCATCCACTTACCAGGTAACCAGGATTTCCACAACAAAGCCGGCGTGCTGGTCCCTTCCCCCGGCCAGCCTGCGCGAGTGACAGCGGGTGGCCAGCTCTGGCGAGGAGAAACTTGGGGCTCCAGCCTTTCAGCGCGCTCCACGGGTTCTGCCTCCTTCGGAAATGAAAACTCCCATCCCAGCCCGGGGACGGAGCGCGGAAACTCGGCCCAAGTGCCGTGTGTGCGCGCGCGTGTGCGAGGGCAGCAGCGGCAGGGGGAGGAGGCAGAAGGGGGGTGGCTGGACCCTCGGCATCAGCTCATTCTCTTCCTCCACTACGCCCACATGCAAATAATGTTTTAAAAAGTTGAGTTTCGACTTTGTGCCTCGCCTGTCCTGCTCATCCTCGCCCTGGGCCGGGGGCTGCGTCTGGGGAGCCAGCCCGGGATGCTGGCTGATTCCTTTCGCCGGTTCCGTCGGGGAAGAGCTGGTGCGAGCCTGGACAGCTACGGGCGGCGCGGGGAGGGGCGGCGCTGGTGCCCGTGCGCGCCGCGCTCTGGGCTGCCGGAGCGGCGCAGTGTGGACGCGGCCTCTGGGAAAGGGGAAGGGAGAAAGAGGGAGGGAGGGAGGAGGCCGGGCGAGGAGTGTGGATGTTAGTGCCGCAGCGAAGGCCGGCCTGCAGCCAGCTGCTTCCTGAGTGTCA